GTAAATTTTCAACTCTATAAACTATATTTTTGATTTAACAAACTGTATTAAATATTTCTGTTCAAAAGTTTATTGTTTGATTAATGTAATTGCTTTCTGCAGGTACATCTGAGACTGCAAAAGTCTGTGGAGCAGTTGCATCTCAGTATCCTTAAGAGAAATTCAGGTGCTGCCTCCTTGTCAGTCATTACAGGAATTACGATCGGTTGTGGATCGCGTGCTGGGATTTGCTTCCTGGCGAGAAACCCGATTCGTCTCTTTATCACGACTTGATTGTTCATAAGGGTGACACACCCGTCCGAGAAGGACAGGGCCCCTAGTTCAGCCCGGCGCCTACCTGAGTCGAGGGTGACTAGGAAGACTGTTTTCCACGTCAAAAGTGGTACTGATCGGAGAGGCTCAAAGGCTCAGACTGCTTAGAGCGGCCAACACAACGGATAAGTTCCAATTGGTTGGTTCCCTCGTTTGGGGTCTAGGCCTCCTAATAATTATTAGGTCTCCTAATAATAGGAAAACTGGCTAGTCTTGTCCCAAGGGAATCCCAATGGTGGGTGACAAGGCTGACCTATAGCCAACAATCGCTGAAAGTACAAGTTCATTTCGTTCAAACGATCGACAAAAAGTCAGCTGTTTGGCCAACAAAGGATGACATGGATCTCCCTTTCACTACCCCAATCAGTGTACGCACGTAATTTCGAGGCGTGGGCTGTGTTGGTGGGATCCATGTTCGCCATGGACGTTAGCAACCCACTGAGTGAGTCAACTGAGAGCCTTGATGCGTGTAAGTGGTACACCATAGGCATCAAGGGCAGTGCGCCGTCCGGTTGGGACAGCAGATCTGGTAGTACCCCTGGTGTTTCGACTAACATTTCCAACAGTAGTAAAAACAAGACCTTGCTTGGCCCACTGGGCGCCACCCGCGTCAAAGTGCAGATGTGCTCATGTCAAAGTTTCTCCAGTACCCGGTGAATAGCGAGAAGGGAGGAAAGGGTCGACAAAGTGTCCCTGGCCCAGGCTCCTGAAGTCAGCAGGAGTGTTGTGTACATCGGTAGCTTGTCGTTCCGGGGTGTGGTGAATAGGTCTAACTTTGGACCGTCCCACAACTGAAACAGTTTGGAGGTTATTTACCCATTGGGGTATCCACCACTCCGCATTCTGGAGATGGCGCCACCATGAGTGGGTGTCCGCTTGACTGTTTCTCACCCCTGGTCCCCCCTAGGGTAGCTATAGGAGACCACCGGAATGTTGTCTGTGCGAAGCAGCTATGGGTAGAAAGTGAATTAGTGCTAGGTGCACTTCTTTCAGTTTGAGCCAGTTGATATGGCAGTCGTTAATCTAACGCAGGGGCCATATTTTCCATTTGGCTTGTTTGTCCAATAGGTGTGCTCCCCAACATGTGAGGGAAGCATCCGTTTCCAGAGTAATAACCATGGCGAGTGTGTTCAAGAGAACCCCCTGCCTAAGGTTGGCAATTGCCGACCACCAGCACTTGGTCCGAGAGTGTTACTCACCTCTCCAGTTCCCGTAGGAGAGCCCGGTGTTGCAACAAAAGTGCGCTGTAACAGGCAGCTGCGTAACATGGCATGGGGAACTACTCACTAACATCATTCCGGTGATCCGCATTAGCTCTCGGAGGGACACAGAGGGAATGATGACTAGGCATTCGGCTAGGTCGTTTAGGCAACGGGCCTGCAGCGACCTTACCAAGCCCACCTCCATGTCAAACTCCCTGGCCAGGAACACCAACTGTTGTGTTGGCTGAGGGTGGGACTTGCTCGATTTACAAGGAAGCACAACTGGTCTAGAGAATCTGATATTAGCCTTACTGTTTGACTAACCACCCCTTGTTGGGTTGTGTAGCAGCCAGTCATCTACCATCTACCAGCCAGGTACATGTTGATGTGTACTGATGTGATGTGTACTGGCGCAACAGTAGCATCACCTGTTTTCACACTCTGGTGAATATGTATGGAGCCATGCATAGAGAATAATATGGTGCTCAGCTTTTCCAGGAAGCTCATACTGATTTAGCCTGCTTAAGTCCAGAACGGGGCATAGCCACCTGTAGTCACAGTTGTAGTCTTTGGAACCACCAATACTTGCGAGTAGAAGCCCGGACTTAACGCCAGGTCCCCTATCCTGTGTATAGCACCCTTTGAAGGCAAACTATCCACCTCCTGTCGGGTCCCCTGGTAGTGCCTCGAATAGGGATCTGTTACACTTTGCCGAACATATTCCCATCCCCCTTCTTCCTGGAGGCGAGTCGCCACTCTTCGCTCCCCCGGAAGAGGCAGGATGCTTGCCTCCTGGCTACTTCAGGCCAGTGGATGCCGACTTTGATCGTTAGGTTTTCTCAGCTTGGTGTCCTTACTGCTTGCCTTTGGCAGAAGCCAAACTGGTTCGCGGGTCCCACCTGTACCAACTGGTCAGTGAGATCCCAAAGCACCGAGATTGCTCCTTCCATCCTCAAAAGTGAAGAGGGTAGGGGAGGTCCAGCCTGCATAACTGAGGCGGTGGTGCGCCCAGTGAAAACAGACAAAACTGCATTCCGCTGTATAGAGGCAGCCCCTGCCACGAGAGCCAGATGACAGTGCAGGCTATCCCGCTTAGCCGTGTCGCACCAATGGCTGTGTCTGCTGGTCTAGGAGGCTGGTGCGTTCCGCCATTGAGACTTCAGAATGCTGGCGGCACAAAACAATTTGTGCCAGTGGGCTGGCCACAACTCGAAGGTTGAGGATCACCTCTCTGCTCTCAGTGCGTGGATAGTTTCCGACTAACCGGTCGAAATATTCCATGAACACGCCCCCCTTCCACCGAACCAACAAAATTTGTGGTACCGGTTCGAGGGAGGAACCAAAGGATCCGATTGGGCGCGAGATTTGACTCCAGACTCTGCTGTCTCTGGGTGGGGTGGGTAGGGGTTGAACATCGGCTCACGGAGTCATTACGAGAAACATACTCCGAGGGGCCGCCCGCGGTTGCACATTGAAA